GGGAAAAAAGAAGCTAACACAATAATAGAGCTTACACAAAGACATTTTTTTCTGAAATAGCCTATTTACTCATCCTATGTATAAGCTCAGCTTGCCGACAAACTAAAAATATGCACATAACCTGATAAAATTCAATTGTAGGTAATTTTCGTTAGTGTTAACCACCGTGAAGGCTTATTCTAAATTTTCGACTGAATATAAAGTAGAATACTAACAGTATTGACAAAATAAAGTCTCATTATATGTAAAATAATAATAATAGATGGACAAATTGATATTTTTACTGTCTGCGCAATTAATAACAAGCATCATCCATCATTAAAAAATGTGCGCCTCCAATATGGTAATTAGAGAAGAGTGCATCCTTATAACATAGCTTAAGAAAGACAAAAAGATAAACTTATTACAAATAAGGGAAATGGAGGAAGAAGAAAATGGCTAATGGGGCAAAGGGTCCTATTCCTCATTAGTCCAATTTCCTTTCAACTTTCAAAGCCACCACAAAAGTACATTCATCAAATCCATATGCATTAAAAAATGTTTCAATTAACATAACCACTAAGTCTACATTTGGTATACAGCGCCCACCCAATCAATTCTGTTCTAGTTAATACCCCTTTCTCTTTCATGGCCACATATCTTTTCATCTAAGGAATGGGAAATATATCTCCCGTTACACGAATCCAATTTTCATTTTAAAACTTGACAATATACTGAACAAGATTTTAGCTTTCCCTTTTCTTCCTTCATATTTGTGCTGTCTAATCCAACTTAACAAACATGCCATAAGAGTACAACTACTATCCTTAATATTGATTGTGCCATCAAAATCAGTTCTAAACACTGAACACTGAAGTTTACAGCATCCAGTATCCATATTTATTCAAGATATAGGAATCCAAATGTTCAATAATATCCTTATCGTAGCTTAAGATAATAAATATACAGAATCCAATAATCACAGTGAACACTTCAATCTATTACAAGCCATCTTCAGCGTACTTACGAAAGCAATTTATTAATACAACATTCAACTAAATACAAACCAAAAAACATTAAAATTTTCCATTTTAACACATTCATACCAAATATACGTCTACACATCAAGAATTGAAAAATCAGAATTCAGATATGCACAGAACAAGATATTAAAAAAAAAAAAAAATCAAATCATGAATTATACAAATTTGACTAAATTAAATTTAAAAACATTTCACCTGTCGTTGATTTTGCTCCTCCGTCGCTGCTCTGTCACAGAATGCTTTGACCTTGTTCCATTAGCCTTGTCACTGTTCTTCCCATCTGCTTCCACGACCATTTATACAAAACAAACAGCAAATTACAAAAAACTCAATTCATTAACATTCATTCTACCATAAAGAAGAAGAAAAAAAGAACTCCAATAGAATTAAGATTCAAACCTTACAAAAGGAGGAAAAAAAACACAAACACACAAAAACACACACGTGTGATGCCAGTGCGTGTATAAAGTTAGGTACCTTTGGCATTATTAGTCGATGGTGTGGCATCTTTTCTTGCACAAAACACTTCATCCTCTTCTTGATGACCCTTTCCAGATTTCATTCTTCACTGAATTTCTTCAAACAGGTTCACTGGATAGAATCAAGAAACTCGACACCCAATAATTGAATGAAAGATTAGCCCAAAAAGCTTCGCCGTACAAATGATAATTAAAAAGGATGAGAAAAAGTAGGAAAAGCTAAAAAGATTACAGCTTTATATAGGTAAAATTGTTGTTTTGTGGGAATTGAATCAGATTTTTAGGGTCGCCTGTGACTTGTGAGTGTGGCCAATAGCAAATAGCTGTAAGCCGCTAAACCTGCCTTTTGGTCTGGCCACGAACATAAAAAATTAGCTGCTGTTTTCCTCTTCATTTATTAATAAAATCAAATTCTTATGCGTGTGTAATGTATTTTTTTACTGTTTTCACTCTTCACATTCTTTCACTTACCTAATATAAAATAATCCCCCAAGTCATGTGGTATAATTCATGTAATCTTTGTTACCTTGAGAAGGAAATTATAGAGAG